GAGGAGAAGAGGGAGGGGAAACTGTGGTTGGTGTGTAAAATAAATGGAAAAAATGTTAATTAAAAAAAGGTAGCGGGGTGGGGGGAGGTGAGGGGAGTGGCACACGCCTTTAATCCCAGGACACGGGAGGCAGAGGCAGGCGGATGGATCTCTAGGCATTTTGTGCCTCCAGGCATCAAGTACTCATGACCTGGGGACTACTTATCTAGGTATGGGTAATTGCTTATATATAATGTCACTGTATTATGTCCAACAAAGTCTCTTTCAATCAATAGATCTAATGGTTCTTGTAGCATGCAATTAAGAAACCACAATTGCTAGGTGGTGGTGGCGCACTGCAGACCTTTAATGCCAGCACTCGGGAGGCAGAGCCAGGCAGATCTCTGTGAGTTTGAGGCCAGCCTGGTCTACAGAGTGAGTGCCAGGACAGCCAGAGCTGCAACACAGAGAAACCCTGTCTAAATCAAGTTTCCCATCAGACTTTGCTCAGGTCTACACAGACCCAAAACAAACTTAAGAGAACTCGCTCAGAGGCCACTAGGTGGCCCCGTCTTCCAGCCCCTAAGGCCCTGCGCCCGTTGAGGAATTGGCTTGCTCTCTTTTGCCTTCTCGCTGCTTCAGATCTGGCTCATGCACACAGTCTCTGAAGTGCCCATTGCATCCCCCATAAACAGAAATGAAATAGTCAACCAAAATTAGTAGCAATCTCAAAATAGATGAAGATACGTTCATTCTGCTGAGAAAAGCTTCCAGTAAGGCTACTGAGTACGTGTGAGTGGGGTGCTGGTTAGCTGTGGAACTAAAGCCCAGTCAAGTGCCCAGTCAAGTAACACATGTAAGGCTGAGGCAGGAGAATTTTGAGTTCAAGGCTAACCCAGGTTACTTAGTAAACCAGGAGCCAATCTATATAATAGGTTTTCTGTCCCTCCATAATAGGTTTCTCCACTGATGCAGTAAGCCAGATCAAGCCGAATTGAAAAAGTATACCAACATCCAACTCCCTGGTGGGCTCTCCAGTCCCAGAGATGGAGGCCAGAGAAGCCACAGGCCCAAACTAAAACAGGGGAATTATCTAGCTGTAGGCGAGGGGTGATGACTTGTCCACCACAAGCTGGGGTTGTGCCCAGGTATGGTCAAAAGCTGGAATGCTTAGGTGGGGACCTGGGCTCCTGGTGGCAACAGGGGAGGAAGTTGCAATAGTCGCCAGGAATGCAGAATTGGACTTTTTGTAGACTTTTCTTTGTTGGAGATTCTCTGAGAGGGCGGGGTTTAGAGAGGCAGACAGACAGACAGACAGAGTGGGACTTTCCGGAGCAAACGGGAAGTTCCAATCGAACACTGTAAATTAGAGGAACTTCTGGGTTTGGTAACCAATCAGACGCCCCCAGAGGCTTACATAGAAAGTGTGTCTCCACAAGGCAGGTGGGAACATTTGTGTGTCACAAAAGCAGGGAATGGAAACAGTGTGCAGCTGTGGAATTCCTCCTTGCCCACGTTGGGGATTGCATGTGATACACTGAACAAAACTGATGTTAGACATATCTTGACCCTTGTTTTATTGCTACAGAAAGCTAAATTTAAATTTTTGATGATTTAATATCTATGTATGTATGCATGTGTGTGCTCGAGTGCTCTCAATTTGTGCACGTGTGTGGAGAGGTCAGGTCTCTTACCAAGTGTGTTCTGGGGATCGAACGCAGGTCGTCAGGCTTGTCAGCATGTGCTTTTACCCACGGAACCATCTTGCTACCCCACCCCACCCAGAATGGCAAATACTGCCTTTTATAGATAGATACATAGATAGATAGATAGATAGATAGATAGATAGATAGATAGATAGATAGATAGATAGATAGATAGACACCTTTCTCAAGGAAATTTCTCAAAAAGAAAGGGAACATGGGAAGCTGATTGTTTTTGAGACAGGGTCTCATTGTGTAGCCCTGGCTGTCCTGGAACTCACTATGTAGACCAGGCTGGCCTCGAACTCACAGAGATCTGCCTGCCTCTGCCTCCAGAGTACTGCGATCCAAGGTGTGCCCCATGAGGTGTTTACACTACCAGACCTGGCTACATGAGGTGTTTCTAAGAGCAGCTAAGAGCTGGTTTGCAGGCACCACGCCTGACTCTTCACTTGAACTTTGTTGGCTCTTCCATGCAGCTTTCCTTTTCTCTTTTCTTTTCTTTTTTTTTTTTTAATATTTATTTATTTATTACATATACAGTGTTCTGCATGTATGCCTGCATGACAGAAGAGGGCGCCAGATCTCACTACAGATGGTTGTGAGCCACCATGTGGTTGCTGGTAATTGAACTCAGGACCTCTGGAAGAGTAGTCAGTGCTCTTAACCTCTGAGCCATCTCTCCAGCCCTCCTTTTCTCTTTTCTTTTCGTTTGAGACAGGCACTAATGTAGCTTAGGCTAGCCTCGAGCTTTCTACATAGCTAAGACTGGATGCCATGCATGCCTGGCTCCCTTCTGAAGTTTCCTGAATCTTTTAGTGGGTGTGAGCTTCCTATTGCTGTAACAAAATCCCTGGAACCATTCAATTTAAAGGAGGAGGTTTGGGGGAGGTGTGGTGCACAAGACCTTGGGAGGAAGAAGCAGGTGGATCTCTATGAGTTCTAGGACAGCCTGGTCCACATAGTGAGTTCCACACTAGCCAAGGCTACATAGTGAGAGCCTGTCTCAAGAAACAGACAAAAAAGGAGGAGGAAAGGTTTCTTTTGGCCCATATTTCCAAATGTTTCAGTCTATATTTGGCCCACTTGCTTTGGAGTCTGTGGTGAGACAGAAGGGGGAATGCACTATGGACACACTCCCGGTGGCCCATTCCTCAGCCAGGGCCCACTTTAAAGTTTCCACCTCCTCCCAAGGTTAAGCCATCCTAATCATGAAAACACTGATAAGGTCAGAGCCCTTATGATCCGACCATCTCCCAAGAGTCATTTTTGAACACTTGCATTTGGGGACCAAGAGTTCAGTACATGATGAGCTTGGGGGACCATTTCAGACCCAAAGCAGAACAATGGAATTCAGGGTTTCTGTGACGTGTGTTATTGGGTTAATCACAAGATAGATGGCTCTTCATCTCAGGCCACAGAAGACCATGGGTCTCTAATCAGAGTCAGACCCTGAACAAAGACTGTGACTTACTGGACTAGAATACAGTTCAACTGTCCTCACTGACTCTGAATTGCTTGATTCTGATGAGTTACACCTGTTGATGACTGTCCTTCAGCTTCCTGGCGTCATCCTTTATTATGTCCAGCATAATAATCTCTCTGGTGTCCTGTTCCTCTCCAGAGTGCTAAGTGCTCCTTGGCAGCCATCTTTTCTATATCAATCCTATTCTATCTGAACAGAGGAGCAAAATGCCAAGGAAGAATTAGCAACCAGTTAATTTGACATTGTGAATTGTGAATCCATACTAAGGCCAAAGAAGTCCCTTAGAATGGTGACAAAAAGTGATGGCTGGGTCCAGGGAGTTAGTCGCGCTCTTAAAATTGAGAGGCTGAATAATTTTTCATTAGTCCTAAAGCTACTTTGCACCCCTGCAGACTATAAGCAGACTTTGTGAGTAATCAGAAGTCTAACTGGAGGGAGCCTCCTCACAGGCAGCCAAACACAGCGGCTGAGGTTTTGGCCAACCACAGGCTGAGATCTGCTCTCAGTCCACAGAAGGCAAATGTGCATGGGTGAAGCCGTCACCACCGACATCCCTTCCTTTTGCTGTTTGTCAATCTGCCTTGCAGGTGGCGGGCTAATGCTCTCTAACCCGGCACTGCCTCGAGGTGCCATCTGGTTCCGGAATGCCTCCTTTGCTCAAGTAAACACCATTTTACCAGGTGTAATTTGTGTGGTTTTCCTTTTAGCGGTGACAACCAGTGCTAAGCCTGGTGGCTGCCAGCCTCAGCCCTGCAGGAAAGGACATGCCAGCCACAGAGCTCGGAAGGAGCTGTGGCTGCCAGTAAGCTCCTCCCCGCGCCTCCCCCCACTCCCACACCTGTTTCAGGCCCGAGACCTGGATGGCCTCTATTGTGTCCTGGGAGCAGCCTCCCAAGGGCCCTGTGTCTCTGTCCAACACGCCTCCCCTCCTCACCCGCACCATGTGGAGCCACGAGCTTCCGAAAGCCTAAGCCTGCTGCTCAGCTCACAACTGGCTCTCTTTGGGGAACTGAACACCTCTGTGTCTTGACCTTTTCACTAACTGGTGTAGGGTGGTTGTCTGGGCTTCACCTCTGTAGCACCGTCCCAGTAGGCAGCAGGTGACTGCTAGGTACCTGCCCCTGCCCGGGGCGTGGCAGAGACGGGGACCCCTTAAGACCTGCAGTGCATCTGCGCTCACTCAGTTGGCTACCTCGTGATTCTGGATGCTGGATGCTGGACCGCAGACCAGGTCAGAGTTCTCCAGAGAGCCGTGTTGGGTTGCGCCTCACCTCTCCTGATCCTGTAACCGGCCCTCTGAGCTTGCTGTAAGTTGACTCAAAATAAACCCCTTTTGACTACATGGAATTGCCTCATTCATTGCCCCTATAAACTGGTGCCAACATGTCCCTTCAGCCTGCCACACAACCTCCCCTGCACTGATGCCAAGTCTCTGGATGCCCCATATGGTGGAATGGTGTCCTGACTGTATTCCTCAAGACTCACTGCAGATAGCATCCTACGGTGGGTCTCCCTGACCCATTCCGAAAAGGCCGTCCTGTGTCCCCACAGTGTCTCCTGTAGATAACTATCAGCGTCTGAGTTTGGCATCACACTGGAGAAGCCTTGAGCCACTCTGTCTAAAATGTTAAAAGAAATGCTTCCTTCTGACGTGAGTGACTTGGGAGCCACCCACAGACTTGGTGTCTAACTCATACACGGGTGACCGCAACTATGGCCCTGGCCCTTGGGTGCCCACACACATGACTCTGAGGAAAGTCCCTGAGCATGTGACGTCAGCTGGGATTGAGAAATGAAAGAAACAAACACTAATGGTGGCTGATGGGGTAGTTAGTGGCCACTGTGGCTGGAAAGTGCTAACAACACGATGCAATGAAGCACACATCCCACCTTGGGTGGCCACACCTCATGGCCTGGACTTTGCCTGACCTGGGTAGGCAAGTGAAGCAGGCTGTGCCCCGCAAGCCAGAGGTGCCAGGGCTTGCTCATTCAGTTCCAGCCACAGCCACTGTGCCCAGGATGACCTGGGAGCTGCACCTGCTGCTTCTGCTGGGGCTGGGACTCGGGTCCCAGGAGGCCCTACCGCCACCCTGTGAGAGGTAGGAGTTTGGGGAAGCTGCGTGTGGGAAGGAAGGCAGGGGTGGCAGGCTGGGATGAGAGCTGCCCTCTGAGGGCCGGCCTCTCAGAGGGCAAGGAAGAGGTAGGTCCTGTGCCAGACACCAAACTTACTGTGTCGGGGGTGACCCCAGAGCTGTTGACCACAGCCCGCCAGAGCTCACCACCCAAGCTGTTCCTTGGACTGAGCAGGGCTGTGCCCTCCATGGTTTTAGCAAACCTTTCCTAGCCTGGTGTGAGGGGAGTCTAGGACCTGGAAAGAACCCATGAGGTTCAGCCTGCCCTGCTGCTCCCTCTGTGCCCCAGGGCAAGTCAAACCTGTCCCCTGAGTCCGAGCTTCTGCCGGCAAATGCACGGATGAGAGCACCATCCTGCCCCCTGGACATGGCTCTGCCAGTCCCTCTTCCACACGGACTCCCACATCACCAGCTCTTGAGAGAAGGGTAAAACCAGAGCCTAGGAGGGAGAAGAAGCCAAGGGAAGCTGGGGGGCTGAGTAAGGACTAAACAGAGGGTGATACGATGGAGCGCGTCTCAGAGGAGGCAATGGACAAATGGAACCCTGGAAGGAGCCTCCTTTGGGGACAGCCAGGCAGGGTCTGCAGTGCAGAGGCTCCCAGGTGTCTTTCAATGGTCACCAAGTCCCAGGAATCTGGGACAGAAGCAGGAAGAGGCCATGAGGGGAAAGGAGACCAGTGTTCATGCTCTGGCGGCAGGACGGGGTGGGGCGGAGTCTATAAGGGGTGCGTTTTGAAGACGGAGTTGTGGAGACTTGTTGATGACCAACTGTGTGGCACAGAAGGAGAGGAAGGATCTGGAATAATTAGCAGGACCTGTTTGATCAGCAGTAGTCAGGATTTCAGAGTGGCTATGCGATGCAGTCTCTTGAGTCCTGTTAGGCTATTTACAGAGTGGGCAACGTAAATGCCCGCTGCTTGTCCCTGGCACGTCAGGGCTCTACTCGGACAGTCACGTGTGTGCTTGTGGATGACAGCCATTGAAGGGACAGATGTAGAGGGCAGAGTCCAGGAGAGAAGGAACTCAACCTTCCAGCTGTCCTCTCCCAGGGCACGTGCACACGGAGTACTGCCAACCAGGAGACTCCCCCGAGTCTCGGTGTTGGTTTTTTTTTTTTGGGGGGGGGGTGTCTTCACAGTGACCTTCCCAGGTCTCCAAAGGTTCAACTGATATTGTGTGGCCTGTTGCCCCCACCATAAATCACAGCATTAGTCTAAGATACCCAGTGCTCCAAGCCCCATTTAAACGCTCACCAGGCGGCACATTCTGGTGTCTTTGCGCTGTTCTCTCTGGGGGATTGGGGGCTTGGTGATGTGCAGGTGGGAACGAGTCTCTTGTGCAGTGTAGAGCTTTTCTGCTATGAGGAAGGATCCGAATGGTCTTCCTCCTGGGTTCCTGGCAGGTTGTCTCTAAGCCTTTGGAACTTCTCACATGTCTTTGTTGCTCATCATGGGTCTTCACGGCTCATGAAAATAAGGTGACTTTGTGGCATGTGTGTCCCCAGGGAGCTCATGCTTCCAGGACAACTCAAGGTGACAGCAACCACTCCAGAAACACAAGAATATGTTTGGAAACTTGGGCCTTTGGGTCACAAGCTATCATTGGAGCTTCAGGAAAAGGAAGGTTCCTGAACATTGCATTTAATCACATGACCGGTGACTCAGTTAAGTGTGCTCTTTCTAATGAGACCCTGACCAAAACTCTAAATTCCAGACACTGGTGAGACTTTCAGGTTGGAGACGCAGCAGAAAGTTGGGAGGGTGAAGCGTCACGATTCCACAGTCAGGGACATCACAGTAGTCGGGAGTCGCCCTGCACTCTCTTACGGGTCTTCATTTGGCTCATCCTGATGACTCCCGATAAGAAAAATATAATTAGCTGAGCAGTGGTAGTGTATGCCTTTAACCCCAGCACTCAGGAGTTTGAGGCCAGCCTGGTCTACACAGCGAGTTCCAGGACAGCCAGGGCTACACAGAGAAACCCTGTCTCAAAAACAAAAGCAAAAGAAAAATACAATCACAGACATAATGATTTCCTGGGTTCTGGGTTCTAGCAAATAATGGATTCTGAGGAGACCCTGGGAACCCCCACATTTATACACAATACAAGTGGTATGAGAACCCTCTAAGCTTATGACTGTCCTCTTCATAAAGGAAGGGCTGATCCTTTAACCTTTTGTGTGGAATCTGCATGTCTTCAGGTGGCTTGTGCCAGAATTAAATTGCTATTGGTGTTAGTATGTGATTTAGGAGAATGATGCCAACCCCTGAAGGGACTGTTTGGAAAAAGGAAGGACAAAAGGTCAGGTGATAGGCTGGAGAGATGACTCAGAGGTTAAGAGCACTGGCTGCTCTTCCAGAGGTCCTGAGTTCAATTCCCAGCAACCACATGGTGACTCCCAACCATCTATAATGAGATCTAGTGCCCTGTTCTAGTGTGCAGGTTTATATGCAGAGCACTCATAATATATATGCCAGGTGATGATAAAGTTTTCATTCTTGGGTGACCACAGGGTTGCTTTGGTACTGAAGAATACTCATGCCAGCCTGGTCTACATAGTGTGTTCCAGAATAGCCAAGGCTACATAGAAAGATCTTGTCTCAAAAACAAACAAACAAGAAAAAAAAACCAGAGTAGTAGTGCTGTGGTATGTTAGTGGTGGGGGGTTTTGAGATGATGGATTCAATTCCTAGGGAAGGGACTCTGATAAATGAGGCAAAGGACAGCAATAAGAAAAAGCAGGGCCTGGAGAGATGGCCAGTGTTTAAGAATACACACTAGTGCTGATATGTAAAACTGAATGGTATTGTAAAATAAAATAAAAGGGAAAAAAAAAAGAAAAAAAGAATACACACTACTCTTTCAGAGGGTTGGAGTTCAGTTCCTGGCACCTACACATGGCAGATCACACCTACCTAGAACTCCAGCTCCAAGTGACTCCTTGGGCACTTGCTCACACACTCTCTCTCTCTTTCTTTAAAATTCTTTTAAAAAAAATAAAAATATAGAAATAGGATGTGGGGGGTAGCTTTCCTGGGAAAGGTGAAGTCCTGGCCTTGACCCCAGCACTGCATAAGCAAAGCGTGGTGGCTCCTACCTCTAATCCCAGCACTCGGGAGGTGGAGAATTACAAATTCAACGTCAGTCTGAAGGTCATCCTCAGCTATTCAGGAAGTTGGAGGCCACCTTGGGCTACATGAGACCCCGTCTCAAAAATTAAACTTGTGAGATGGCTCAGTGAGTCTCACTGTGTAGCCCAAGCTGGGTTCCAATTCTCAATCCTCCTGCCTCACCCACTTGATTGTAGGCATACAGCACCACACCACTCCCAAAGGGATTGATCACCTTCTGTGGAGCAAAGATCAGGCCCTGGCACAGCAGCCTTTGAACACCTTCCCAGCATAATCTCTGATACTTTGGACTAGAGACTTTCTAGCTGGTAGTAATTAGTAGCTTACTATCAGATATTAGTTGAAATTTCCCCTAAAACTAAAGGGCATGAGATATTGTTGGCAACTGAAAGACTATGGCATCCTGGGAAATGTTGGAATAATGCTCTCAGAAAGAGGGCTGTGCCCTATGGACACCCTCAATGGACCCACAGTTTGTTTTATGAATGTCTATTTCAAGGTGAGCATGGAGTATGATGTTTTGATGGAAGAAAACAAGAAGTCAACTCCATGGGCTGAATTGAGACTTTGCCATTGAATTTGGGTTTCACCAACTCCTGAGCAGGCACTAATGGCCCAGTTCATAATGGTCAGGCAGAAAGATAATGGAAAAACATTAACCTTAAAGGTTTGAGGATATAGCTCAGTTGGTAGACTACCTGTCTGTCATACAGGAAGTCGATAAATGGGGCAGGGTGGTCCATTCCTATAATCCCATTACTCAGGAGGTGGAGGCAGGAGGATCAGAAGTTCAAGATCACCCTTGGCTCCATATCTAGCTCAAGGCCACTCCAGGATGCATAAGACCTTGAATGGAGAAGGAGTAGGAGAATTGGAACAGGCAGTTAAGACGTTTGTCATGTACAGCAGGGAACAGTGAGAGATAAAGATGTGAAAGACCAGCTTGCACACCTTCACACATGTGTGCTCACACTCACCATTCGGGGAGCTCTGAAGGACTGTCTGTTAGTACAGGCCCCTGCTTTTCTGGGTGACTTAGAGAGCAGGTATGGAGGACCTGACTAGCCAGTTCTTCTTGTGGGGGAAGGGAACAGTCCAGCTGTTTTCCTGTCGTCTGAGCTTGCTCTCTCTTCCCTGATGCCTTGGTCCCAGGAGCAGGACTGTGGCTACACGTGCCAGAAGCCAGGGTGGTTCCCAAGTGAGGACATGAAGCTGGGACTATCAGTCTTCCTGTAGAAGTTCCCAAGGGCCTGCAGTTTGTAACCAGGCACTTCAAACTATAAGCAGCCTGAAGACCCTCCCATTTATAACTGGCGTCTGAAGTGACGTTTGATTAGACTGTGCCCTAAACGTGAAATTGGTTAGTATCAGAACTGAATTGACTACTTCACAGCTATTTTGACCTTTGCCAAGATTCTTTTTTGATTAAATAACTAATTAATTAATTAAATTTGTATTAATTAATTTTGTTTTTTTGAGACAGGATCTCTCTATGTAGCCTTGGCTGTCCTGGAACTCACTGTGTAAACCAGGTTGGCCTCAAACTCATAGAGATCCACCACCTTTGCCTCCCAAGTGCTGGGATTAAAGACGTGTGCCACCATGCCTGGCTCATACTTTTATTTATTATTTTATGTTTAGGAGTGTTATGCCTGCCTGTAAGTGCATCCTATGTGTGCAGTGCCTGTGGAGGCCAGAAGAGGGCATCAGATGCCCTGAAACTGCAGTCAGAGATGGTTGAGATTTGCCATGTGGGTGCTGGGAACTGAACCCAGGTCCTCTGCAAGAGCAGCAAATGCTCTTAGGTGCTAAGCCAACTTTCGTGGCCGCTGGCCAAGACTCACAACAGCACCATCCTATGTATCTGGACATTTCCACTTAGCATAGAACTTATGTAGAAGACGCAGTGTTGGGATCAGTCAGACTATGGCAGTATTTGAAAGAATTGATGAAGACTAATGGATTTCAAGAGACAAACAATCTTGCCCAATAACCTCTGTGGGTGTGTTTTACACTAATTTGATAGCCCTCCTTGATCTATTGTCGTGCCTGAGGACCAACTTGGTGGAAGTACTTAGTTCAGAAACTACTACAGGTCTTCTCAGGCCAGCCTGTTCCTTTGGCACTCTGTCTGGGGGATGCTCTTGCTCCATCTCCCAGTGTATTTGATCATCAGTACCAGTGTCCCCATATGAGTCACTTACATTAGGCAGTTAAGTTACCAACATGTCAGCACCCCACCACATCACGTGCCGTTCAGTTTCATTATAGACGACGAGTCTGTGAAAATCACAGGGAAATTTTCTGTGCCTCATCTATTTGCCAAATATCATGTGCATGCATCACTGCTGGCGTGGGGCTGTGTGTGTTCATTATTTTCTAGGTTGGTTGGGAACAAAGTCAGTCACCCTATCTCAGTGCACAAGCTTGGACCAGATCTGGTTCCCATGGTGCCTTATTATATTATGGAGCCCAGGCTTTCCCAAGGGAGGGCACAAGTGGTCCTCGGAAGAGTAGCTATCCTTCCCAGTGTCCCAAGGGGTGTGTCTTCTGCCTTTGGAGTAAGGGAGGTCAGAGTGCATGCATATTTTAAGTCTCCAGAGAATATGGTAAAGGCCATGAGATTGTCCCTTGCAGCTGGCAGCTGGGCCGGGGGGTGTTGCCCATGACTACTTGGCCTCAACATTCATTAAATAACCAGGAGGCCCTGCTGGAGCTGTGCACTGCCCATCCCCAGGGCTGGATCCTGGCATTATCTAGCATTATTCATGGACTTGGCCTGATCCTCCTCTTCACTTCTCCAACCTTTGTTCCCCTCCTGGGAGAGATCTCCTGCTCTAATTAATCTTTTCCTCTGAATGCTTCTCTTCATTGAAAGTAAGTCCAGGCTGAGCTTAGCCGCACACGTTTGTTAATCTCAGCACCCAGGAGGCTGAGGCAAGAGAATCTAGAATTTGAGACGAGCATGAGCTTCACTGTAACAACCTATCTCATTAAAAAAAAAAAAGGCAGAGGCAGGTGGATCTGTGTGAGTTCAAGGCCAGGCTAAGTTGTACAGTGAGACCCTGTCTCAAAAATAAACACAGAAAATAACTAGAAACTATAAGCCCAGTGCTCATCCGTTAAGAGCACTTCCAGAGAACTTCGGTTCAATTCCCAACATGTCCATTTGATGTGAAGTCACTTGGTGGCCTCTGGGGACTGTATCCTTCCCCCACACTCTTTCTTCTTTTTTTTAATTAAAAAATTACATGTGTATGTGTGTGGGCATGTGCATGTGAGTGCAGTGTCCTTAGAAGCCAGAAGAGGGCATCAGATCCCCTGGGTTACAAGAGGTTGTGAACTACTTGCAGAGGATGCTGGGAACTGAATTCAAGTCCTCAGCATCACTAGAATGTGCTCTTAACTGCTGGTCCGTCTCTCCAGCCCCCTCCCCCCTCATCTCTCTCGCCCTTTCTCTCTTTTGAGTCTCGCTCTGTAACCCAGACTGGCCTCAAACTCCCGTCAGTCCTCCTGCCTCAGTGCTGGGTTTGCAGGTGTAAGCCACTACAAATAGTTACGAGAAGCATACCCTAGTGTTTGTTCTACACTGGTACAGTGCTTTCTGTCCCAAGACAGAACTTTATAGAGTTCTGAGCATTTTCATTTACATCCAAGTCTGCACAGCTGCTTTCATGACCCCCTTTAATATCTACAGCGATTTCTGGAAAGTGATTTAATAGTTCAGTTTGTTCACTGCCCATCTGCCAGCCATTTGCTATGCCCTATGAATCATTAAAACCTACCCACAAAGACTTTTTAAAAGAAAAATTGTGTGTGTGTAGGGAAGGAGGAGGTGTGTGTGTGTGTGTGTGTATGTGTGTGTGTGTGT